AGACTCAGCCGCAAGAGACCAATAGGAGGGCCCACGCCTCCACTCCCGCTTGGCCAGATGTATGTCAGCCAAGCTGGGCAACCTGGTCTCCTGCAAAAATAAAACATCAGCATCAACACCGCTGAGCAAAAATAAGGCTGACTCTCTAGCACTCACAGACTTTATGCTGGCAACGTTAATAGTTGCCACTAGAGATGAGCGAATCGAAGTAGAAGTGGAATTCGTTTCGAATATTGGAAAATTTTCGATTCGCGCCGAATCCGAAAAATAGCCTACTTCGGACGCGCGAATCAAAATTTTTCCTAAAATGGCGGCGGACATGTGCGGCGACGGAGCGGGGATGTCTGGGAAGGCGCGCAGACAAGGCGCGCTGACCCATAATGCATTCCTTAATGACATGTGATCGCATTAGCCAATCAGCAGCCAGCCAGCCAGCACTGTGTAATGGTCGAGCTATAAATGGCGGCCATTTTAGAATTCTTCATTTGCCTCCAGTCATTCAAGAGAGGCAGACCGCTCTGTATTAGGGACAGAGTTAGGGCCACAGAAACGTTACTTGGGGACAGAGAAACGTTACTTAGGGACAGAGAAACGTTACTTAGGGACAGAGAAACATTACTCAGGGACACAGAATTGTTAGTGAGGGCCACAGAATCGTTACTTAGGGCCACAGAAACGCTAGTTAGGGCCACAGAATTGTTACTCAGGGACAGACAGAATTGTTACTGAGGGCCACAGAATTGTTACTTAGGGCCACAGAAACGTTACTCAGGGCCACAGAATTGTTACTGAGGGCCACAGAACTGTTACTTAGGGCCACAGAAACGTTAGTTAGGGCCACAGAATTGTTACTCAGGGACAGACACAGAATTGTTACTGAGGGCCACAGAATTGTTACTTAGGGCCACAGAAACGTTACTCAGGGACACAGAATTGTTACTGAGGGCCACAGAACTGTTACTTAGGGCCACAGAAACGTTACTAGGGCCACAGAATTGTTACTCAGGGCCACAGAATTGTTACTTAGGGCCACAGAATTGTTACTCAGGGACAGACACAGAATTGTTACTGAGGGCCACAGAATTGTTACTTAGGGCCACAGAATTGTTACTCAGGGACACAGAATTGTTACTGAGGGCCACAGAACCGTTACTTAGGGCCACAGAATTGTTACTCAGGGACAGACACAGAATTGTTACTGAGGGCCACAGAATTGTTACTTAGGGCCACAGAAACGTTACTCAGGGACACAGAATTGTTACTGAGGGCCACAGAACCGTTACTTAGGGCCACAGAATTGTTACTCAGGGACAGACACAGAATTGTTTACTGAGGGCCACAGAATTGTTACTTAGGGCCACAGAAACGTTACTCAGGGACACAGAATTGTTACTGAGGGCCACAGAACCGTTACTTAGGGCCACAGAATTGTTACTCAGGGACAGACACAGAATTGTTACTGAGGGCCACAGAATTGTTACTTAGGGCCACAGAAACGTTACTCAGGGACACAGAATTGTTACTGAGGGCCACAGAACCGTTACTTAGGGCCACAGAATTGTTACTCAGGGACAGACACAGAATTGTTACTGAGGGACACAGAATTGTTACTGAGGGCCACAGAACTGTTACTTAGGGCCACAGAATTGTTACTCAGGGACACAGAATTGTTACTGAGGGCCACAGAACCGTTACTTAGGGCCACAGAATTGTTTTACTCAGGGACAGACACAGAATTGTTACTCAGGGACACAGAATTGTTACTGAGGGCCACAGAACCGTTACTTAGGGCCACAGAAACGTTACTCAGGGACACAGAATTGTTACTGAGGGCCACAGAACCGTTACTTAGGGCCACAGAATTGTTACTCAGGGACAGACACAGAATTGTTACTGAGGGCCACAGAATTGTTACTTAGGGCCACAGAAACGTTACTCAGGGACACAGAATTGTTACTGAGGGCCACAGAACCGTTACTTAGGGCCACAGAATTGTTACTCAGGGACAGACACAGAATTGTTACTGAGGGACACAGAATTGTTACTGAGGGCCACAGAACTGTTACTTAGGGCCACAGAATTGTTACTCAGGGACAGACACAGAATTGTTACTCAGGGACACAGAATTGTTACTGAGGGCCACAGAACCGTTACTTAGGGCCACAGAAACGTTACTCAGGGACACAGAATTGTTACTGAGGGCCACAGAACCGTTACTTAGGGCCACAGAATTGTTACTCAGGGACACAGAATTGTTACTGAGGGCCACAGAAGCGTTACTTAGGGCCACAGAATTGTTACTCAGGGACAGACACAGAATTGTTACTCAGGGAAACAGAATTGTTACTGAGGGCCACAGAACCGTTACTTAGGGCCACAGAAACGTTACTCAGGGACACAGAATTGTTACTGAGGGCCACAGAACCGTTACTTAGGGCCACAGAATTGTTACTCAGGGACACAGAATTGTTACTGAGGGCCACAGAACCGTTACTTAGGGCCACAGAATTGTTACTCAGAAACAGACACAGAATTTTTACTCAGGGACACAGAATTGTTACTGAGGGCCACAGAACCGTTACTTAGGGCCACAGAATTGTTACTCAGGGCCACAGAATTGTTACTGAGGGCCACAGAACCGTTACTTAGGGCCACAGAATTGTTACTCAGGGACAGACACAGAATTGTTACTCAGGGACACAGAATTGTTACTGAGGGCCACAGAACCGTTACTTAGGGCCACAGAAACGTTACTCAGGGCCACAGAATTGTTACTGAGGGCCACAGAAACGTTACTTAGGGCCACAGAATTGTTACTCAGGGACACAGAATTGTTACTGAGGGCCACAGAACCGTTACTTAGGGCCACAGAATTGTTACTCAGGGACAGACACAGAATTGTTACTCAGGGACACAGAATTGTTACTGAGGGCCACAGAACCGTTACTTAGGGCCACAGAAACGTTACTCAGGGACACAGAATTGTTACTGAGGGCCACAGAACCGTTACTTAGGGCCACAGAATTGTTACTCAGGGAGAGACACAGAATGTTACTCAGGGACACAGAATTGTTACTGAGGGCCACAGAACCGTTACTTAGGGCCACAGAATTGTTACTCAGGGACACAGAATTGTTACTGAGGGCCACAGAACCGTTACTTAGGGCCACAGAATTGTTACTCAGGGACAGACACAGAATTGTTACTCAGGGACACAGAATTGTTACTGAGGGCCACAGAACCGTTACTTAGGGCCACAAAAACGTTACTCAGGGACACAGAATTGTTACTGAGGGCCACAGAACCGTTACTTAGGGCCACAGAATTGTTACTCAGGGACAGACACAGAATTGTTACTGAGGGCCACAGAATTGTTACTTAGGGCCACAGAAACATTACTCAGGGACACAGAATTGTTACTGAGGGCCACAGAACCGTTACTTAGGGCCACAGAATTGTTACTCAGGGACAGACACAGAATTGTTACTCAGGGACAGACACAGAATTGTTACTCAGGGACACAGAATTGTTACTGAGGGACAGACACAGAATTGTTACTCAGGGACAGACAGAATTGTTACTGAGGGCCACAGAACTGTTACTTAGGGCCACAGAAACGTTACTCAGGGACACAGAATTGTTACTCAGGGACAGACACAGAATTGTTACTCAGGGACAGACACAGAATTGTTACTGAGGGACACAGAATTGTTACTGAGGGACACAGAATTGTTACTGAGGGCCACAGAACTGTTACTTAGGGCCACAGAAACGTTACTCAGGGACACAGAATTGTTACTCAGGGACACAGAATCGTTTAATTAAAGAGTATGTCAGACAACATGCAGAGGAGTGGCAGAGGAGGCAATGTTTTTTAGGAGCGAGCAGACGTGGCAGCAGAGGAAGGGGTCGAGGCAGCACTATTCGCAGCCAGAGGCTAGTGCTCCCGGTGTCATCCAGTACAGTGAGGAAGAGCTAACAGAGGGCGGTCAGGAACGGGGGGAGACATCCGCCTCTTCAGCAGCCAGGCGAAGAAGTAGTGGCGAGGAGAGTGGCTCGGTAGCCGGTCTAGAGACAGGTCTGTCTCCTGACCCACACGCAGCCGAGGGGGCTAGTAGTGAGGCGGAGACCCTAATTGATGATGATGAGGCTGATCGCACTTGGCAGCCTCGTCGTCATCAGGCTATTGCTTCCGCATCATCAGGAGAAGAGGGTGGCAGCTTGGCAGCGAGCAAAACAGTCGGTGGGTTGTCTCCATCGCCACACTCTGCCATGTGCCACTTTCAGGTCTCCTCACACACTGCTGGTGTGTTCCATTTTTTGTCATAGGGTGCTGGCAGATTACGGGCCTCCCATAGCTGCTTCCAGGCCCCTAATCTGCCATGGGCCCCTATACCGCCTCCTCATGCTGCTGCCAGGTCCACAGTGTCTCATGCCATGTGCCACTTTCAGGTCTCCTCACACTGCTGGTGTGTTCAATTTTTTGACATAGGGTGCTGGCAGATTACTGGCCTCCCATAGCTGCTGCCAGGCCCCTAATCTGCCATGGGCCCCTATATACCGCCTCCTCATGCTGCTGCTGCCAGGTCCAGAGTCTCTCATGGGTCCCTGCACGGCCTCCCATTGCTGCTGTCTCCATCGCCACACTCTACCATGTGCCACTTTCAGGTCTCCTCACACTGCTGGTGTGTTCCATTTTTTGTCATAGGGTGCTGGCAGATTACGGGCCTCCCATAGCTGCTGCCAGGCCCCTAATCTGCCATGGGCCCCTATACCGCCTCCTCCTCATGCTGCTGCCAAGTCCAGAGTCTCTCATGGGTCCCTGTACGGGCCTCCCATTGCTGCTGTCTCCATCGCCACACTCTGCCATGTGCCACTTTCAGGTCTCCTCACACTGCTGGTGTGTTCCATTTTTTTGTCATAGGGTGCTGGCAGATTACGGGCCTCCCATAGCTGCTGCCAGGCCCCTAATCTGCCATGGGCCCCTATATACCGCCTCCTCATGCTGCTGCCAGGTCCACAGTCTCTCATGGGTCCCTGTACGGCCTCCCATTGCTGCTGTCTCCATCGCCACACTCTGCCATGTGCCACTTTCAGGTCTCCTCACACTGCTGGTGTGTTGAATTTTTTGACATAGGGTGCTGGCAGATTACGGGCCTCCCATAGCTGCTGCCAGGCCCCTAATCTGCCATGGGCCCCTATACCGCCTCCTCATGCTGCTGCCAGGTCCAGAGTCTGTCATGGGTCCCTGTACGGCCTCCCCATTGCTGCTGTCTCCATCGCCACACTCTGCCATGTGTGCCAATTTCAGGTCTCTCACACACTGCTGGTGTGTTGAATTTTTTGACATAGGGTGCTGGCAGATTACGGGCCTCCTATAGCTGCTGCCAGGCCCCTAATCTGCCATGGGCCCCTATACCGCCTCCTCATGCTGCTGCCAGGTCCACAGTGTCTCATGCCATGTGCCACTTTCAGGTCTCCTCACACTGCTGGTGTGTTGAATTTTTGACATAGGGTGCTGGCAGATTACGGGCCTCCCATAGCTGCTGCCAGGCCCCTAATCTGCCATGGCCCCTATATACCGCCTCCTCATGCTGCTGCCAGGTCCAGAGTCTCTCATGGGTCCCTGTACGGCCTCCCATTGCTGCTGTCTCCATCGCCACACTCTGCCATGTGCCACTTTCAGGTCTCCTCACACACTGCTGGTGTGTTGAATTTTTTGACATAGGGTGCTGGCAGATTACGGGCCTCCCATTGCTGCTGCCAGGCCCGTAATCTGCCATGGGCCCCCGTACCGATCCTCATGCTGTGACGTTGCAACAAGGTGGAATTCAACCCTACATATTTAGACCGCCTTTACGAACAGCAAAGGCCATCACAGATTTTCCTGATGTTAAAAGCGGATAAAGGTACTCCCTGTGTAACTTAGATGTCAGCCATTGGCAGCTCATGTGTGACACCTGCGCTTGCTCAGGCCCTTTGAGGAGGCCACGCTATTCGTGAGTCGGCAGGACTATGGGATGAACGACGTCATTCCTCTGTTGCACGTCCTGGAACAAATGCTGTTAATAATGGCTGGTCAGGGTGCGGTAGACGTGGCGCACAGATCTCAACGCCACATGACCCCTGTGGGGGCAGGACAGGAAGAAGAGGAGGAGGTAGAGGAGGACATTGGTGCTCAGGAATTATTGAGTGAAATGGGTGGTTTTTCCACTCAGCGGACAGGAGTGGAGGAGCAGGAGCATCTGGTAGAGGAGGAGGAAGAGGAGAGACAGAGGACCCAGATGCACCGTGGCAGTATGCTGTGGAGATGGAGGCAGAGAGTCCCTCGCATTGCTTGGCACAAATGGCCCATAGCATGCTTGCTTGCTTGCGTACCGACAGCCGAATAATAACCATCAGACAGAGGGATGACTTTTGGCTGTCCACCTTGTTGGACCCTCGCTACCGTTCCAAAATGGTGGCCTTTTTCACACCTGCTGAGAGGGGTGGCCAAAATAACGTACTATAAAAACCACCTATGTAGTCAGCTGGTCTCTGCCTGTCTGCGCCAACATCCATCCTCAGACACTGTGGGCCCTGTGCGCTCGCGTTACGCTGCCATGGCAGCAGGGAGGGGTGGGGTGGTAGGAGCAGTGGCAGCTCCACCAGCAGCAGCTGCCTCAGTCTGCAGTCGATGATGAGTAGCTTTCTTCACCAGCGCAGTGAGGAAACTAATAACCAGCCGCACAGCAGCAGCAGCAGCATCAGGTGGACCTGGAGCAGGACCTCAAACAACAGGCTTAGGCCTACTTGGACAGCACCCTGCCAACCGAGGTAGACAATCCCCTTGAGTACTGGGCAACGAAACTTGACCTTTGGCCCCAACTAGCTGAATTTGCCCTTGAAAGGCTGTCATGCCCGGCCAGTAGCGTGGCATCGGAGCGTTGTGTTTAGTGCGGCAGGAGGTATTGCAACTCCGCGGAGGACACGACTGTCCACCCAAAAGTGTGGAGAGACTCACGTTTGTGAAAATGAATCAGGCGTGGATTAGTCTGGATTTCAAACCACCAGTTCCTGACACACTGACTAAATCCGCCATGAATCATGCCCCTGCCATCTTTCAGCGTCTCCTCACACTGCTGGTGTGTTGAATTTTTTGACATAGGGTGGTGCTGGCAGATTACGGGCCTCCCATAGCTGCTGCCAGGCCCCCTAATCTGCCATGGCCCCTATATACCGCCTCCTCATGCTGCTGCCAAGTCCAGAGTCTCTCATGGGTCCCTGTACGGCCTCCCATTGCTGCTGTCTCCATCGCCACACTCTGCCATGTGCCACTTTCAGGTCTCTGTTCCACTGCTGGTGTGTTGAATTTTTTGACATAGGGTGTGGCAGATTACGGGCCTCCCATAGCTGCTGCCAGGCCCCTAATCTGCCATGGGCCCCCTATACCGCCTCCTCATGCTGCTGCCAAGTCCAGAGTCTCTCATGGGTCCCTGTACGGCCTCCCATTGCTGCTGTTCTCCATCGCCACACTCTGCCATGTGCCACTTTCAGGTCTCCTCACACTGCTGGTGTGTTGAATTTTTTGACATAGGGTGCTGGCAGATTACGGGCCTCCCATAGCTGCTGCCAGGCCCCCTAATCTGCCATGGGCCCCTATATACCGCCTCCTCATGCTGCTGCCAAGTCCAGAGTCTGTCATGGGTCCCTGTAACGGCCTCCCATTGCTGCTGTCTCCATCGCCACACTCTGCCATGTGCCACTTTCAGGTCTCCTCACACTGCTGGTGTGTTGAATTTTTTGACATAGGGTGCTGGCAGATTACGGGCCTCCCATTAGCTGCTGCCAGGCCCCTAATCTGCCATGGGCCCCTATACCGCCTCCTCATGCTGCTGCCAAGTCCAGAGTCTGTCATGGGTCCCTGTACGGCTCCTCCCATTGCTGCTGTCTCCATCGCCACACTCATGCCATGTGTGCCCAACTTTCAGGTCTCCTCACACTGCTGGGTGTGTTGAATTTTTTGACATAGGGTGCTGGCAGATTACGGGCCTCCCATAGCTGCTGCCAGGCCCCTAATCTGCCATGGGCCCCTATATACCGCCTCCTCATGCTGCTGCCAGGTCCAGAGTCTGTCACTTGGGTCCCTGTACGGCCTCCCATTGCTGCTGTCTCCATCGTCACACACTCTGCCATGTGCCACTTTCAGGTCTCCTCACACACTGCTGGGGTTGTGTTGAATTTTTTGACATAGGGTGCTGGCAGATTACGGGCCTACCCCTATAGCTGCTGCCAGGCCCCTAATCTGCCATGGGCCCCTATACCCGCCTCCTCATGCTGCTGCAGGTCCAGAGTCTGTCATGGGTCCCTGTACGGCCTCCCATTGCCTGCTGTCTCCATCGCCACACTCTGCCATGTGCCACTTTCAGGTCTCCTCACACTGCTGGTGTGTTGAAATTTTTTGACATAGGGTGCTGGCAGATTACGGGCCTCCTTATAGCTGCTGCCAGGCCCCTAATCTGCCATGGGCCCCTACATATACCGCCTCCTCATGCTGCTGCCAGGTCCAGAGTCTCTCATGGGTCCCTGTACGGCCTCCCATTGCTGCTGTCTCCATCGCCACACTCTGCCATGTGCCACTTTCAGTCTCCTCCTCACACTGCTGTGTGTTGAATTTTTTGTCATAGGGTGCTGGCAGATTACGGGCCTCCCAATAGCTGCTGCCAGGCCCTAATCTGCCATGGGCCCCTATTAACCACCGCCTCCTCATGCTCAGGCTGCCAGGTCCAGAGTCTCTCATGGGTGCTCCTGTACGGCCTCCCATAGCTGCTGCTGTCTCCATCTTGGGCCCCACACTCTGCCCATGTGCCACTTTCAGGTCTCCTCACACTGCTGGTGTGTTGAATTTTTTGACATAGGGTGCTGGCAGATTTACGGGGCCTCCCATAGCTGCTGCCAGGCCCCTAATCTGCCATGGGCACCCCCTATAACCGCCTCCTCTCATGCTGCCCTGCCAGGTCCAGGAGTCTCTCATGGGTCCCCTGTACGGGACCTCGCTCCATTGCTGCTGTTCTCCATCGCCACACTCTGCCATGTGCCACTTTCAGGTCTCCTCACACTGCTGGTGGTGTTGAATTTTTTTGACATAGGGTGCTGGCAGATTACGGGCCTCACCATAGCTGCTGCCAGGCCCCTAATCTGCCATGGGCCCCTATATACCGCCTCCTCATGCTGCTGCCAGGTCCAGAGTCTGTCATGGTTCCCTGTACGGCCTCCCATTGCTGCTGTCTCCATCGCCACACTCTGCCATGTGCCACTTTCAGGTCTCCTCACACACTGCTGGTGTGTTGAATTTTTTGACATAGGTGCTGGCAGATTACGGGCCTCCCATAGCTGCTGCCAGGCCCCTAATCTGCCATGGGCCCCTATAACCTCCCGCCTCATGCTGCTGCCAGGTCAAGAGTCCTCTCATGGGTTCCCCTGTACTACGGCCATCCCAATGCTGCTTGTCCTCCATCGCCACACTCTGCCAGCCATCGTGTGCCACTTTTCAGGTCTCTCTCACACTTGCTGGTGTGTTGTTCAATTTGTTTTGACATATGGTGCTGGACAGAGTTACGGGTCCTACCATAGCTGCATGACATGGACCCCTTATCTGCCATGGAGGCCCTATTTTTCCTATACCGCCTCCCCACATCGCTGCTGGCCAAGTCCAGAGTTTCTGTTCATGGGACCCTGTTACGCCGCCAACCATTGCTGCTGTCCCACCATCGGCCACACCTCTGCCATGTGCCACTTTCAGGTCCATCACACCTGCTGGTGTGTTGAATTATTTGACATAGGGTGCTGGCAGATTACGGGGGCCTCCTACTAGCTCGCTGCACGAGGCCCTAATCTGCCTTGGGCCGCCTATACCGCCATTCCTCATGCTGCAGCCAGGGTCCAGAGTCTGTCCATGGGTCCCTGTACGGGCCCTCCTCTTGCTGCTGTCTCCATCGCCACACTCTGCCATGTGCCACTTTCTAGGTCTCCTCAACACTGCTGGTGTGTTAAATTTTTTGGTCACATAGGAGTTATAATAAAATTAAATAAATAATAGGTGCTGGCAGATTACACGGGCCACCTATAGCTGCTGCCATGGCCCCTAATCTGCCATGGGGCCCCTATACCCACTCCTCATGCTGCTGCCAGGTCCACAGTCTTTCATGGGTCCTGTACGGCCTCCCAATGCTGCTGTCTCCATCGCCATCACTCTTGCCATGTGCCCACCTTTCAGGTCTCCTCATACACACTGCTGGTGTGTTAAATTTTTTGTCATAGGGTGCTGGCAAATGACGGGCCATCCTATAGCTGCTGCCAGGCCCCTTAATCTGCCCTGGGCCCCCCTATATACCGACTCCCTCATTCTGCTTGCTGCCTAGGGTTGTCCAGGAGTCTCTATCATGGAGTCCCTTGTAACGGCCTCCCATTCTGCTGTCTCCATCGCCACACTCTGCCATGTGCCCACTATTCTCCATGTCTCACTCACACTGCAGGGTGTGTTTCATTTTTTTGTCGAAAGGGTGCTGGCAGATTACGGGCCTCCCATAGGCTTGCTGCCAGGCCCCTAATCTGCCATGGGCCCCTATATACCGCCTCCTCGTGCTGCTGGCTGCAGGTATCCAGAGTCTTCTCATGGGTCCCCTGTACGGCCTCGCCAGTGCTGCTGTCCTCCATCGCCACAACTCTGCCATGTGACAACATTCAGCTCTCCTCACACTGCTAGGTGTGTTCAATTTTGTTGACATTAAGCGGTGCTGGCAGATTACGGGCCCTCCCCATCGCTGCATGCCATGGCCCCTAATCTGCCATGGGCCACCTATATAACCGCCTTCCTTCATGCTGCTGCCAAGGTCCAGAGTTCTCTCTTGGAGTCCCTGTACGGCCCTCCCATTGAGCTGCTGGTCTCCATCGCCACACCTCTGCCATGTTGCCACTTTCAGGTCTCCCCTCCACTACTGCTGGTGTGTTGAATTTTTTGACATAGGGTGCTGGCAGAAGTAACGCGGCATCCTATAGCTGCTGCCAGGGACCCTAATCTGCCATTGGCCCCTATACATGCCTCCTCTCATGCTGCTGCCAGGTCCCAGAGTCTGTCCATGGGTCCCTGTAACGGCCTCCCATTGCTGCATCCTCCATCGCCACACTGCCGACCTTTCACTCTGCCATGTGCCACTTTCAGGTCTTCCTCACACACAGCTGGTCGTGTTAAAATTTTTTGTCATAGTGGTGGCTGGGCAGATTACGGGCCTCCTATAGCTGGCTGCCAGGCCCCTAATCTGCCATGGGCCCCTATTTTACCGCCATCCTCATGCTGCTGCTTCAGGTCCACCAGTCTGTCATTGGGACCTGTATCCGGGCCTTCCCATTGCTGCTGTCTCCATCGCCACACTCTGCCATTGCTGCCACTTTCAGGTCTCCTCACACACTGCTGGCAGATTAACGGGCCTCCCATTTTGACTGCTGCCGAGGCCTGTAATCTGCCATGGGCCCCCTGTACCGCATGGTCACGCTGCTGCTGTGGTCCACCAGTGTGACATTGGTTCCCTGTAATCCGCCTCCCAATGCTCCCACTCTGCCATGTGCCCACTTTCAGGTCTCCTCACAACTCCTGCTGGTTTCCATTTTGTCCATAGGTTGGCTGGCAGATTACAGCACCTCCCAATGGTGCTGCCCCCCCCCCCCCACCCCCGGCCCCAAATCTGCCCATGGGCCCCCCGTACCGCGCTGGGTCACGCTGCGCTGGATCCCAACAGTGTTGACATGGGTCCCTGTACCCTACCCCGCCTCCCAATGCTCCCACTCTGCCATGTGCCACTTTGAGGTCTCCTCACAGCTCTGATTGGTTTCCATTTTGTCATACGGTTTGCAGTATGGCCTCGCCATTGCTGCTTTGCCGACCACCCTCTCAGCACCCGCCACACTGTGGCTCCAAACACTGGTTTTGAGGCCCCGTGACTGGCCAAATGATGAAGTGTGGTGTGCGGTGATTCTAAGATCGACGGCACTCATCTGCCTGTCATACTGACTGACAGTATTATTTCTCTTCCCCAGCAGACCAAGAGTCCAAGGGCATTTTATTTGTTTTTAAATTAAAGTACAGTGTTCTGCACTAATATTAAGACTTCTCTGAAGCTTAGAAGACAAACCCTCTTTTTTTAAGTTAAATTCACAGCGAATATATTCGACTCGAATCGTCAATATTGTCCACGAATTCGCCGAATCATGTCGAATCGAATTTTTGAATACTTCGCTCATCTCTAGTTGCCACCTTTATCGGAGCCGGAACTGCCATTAAGATAATTGAGAGTGGCGTTTCTTAACCCTCTCTTCTTGACTTTTTTTTGAAGGGTCTTGTTATGATCACCCCAGGTGGTGCCTCAGCTGCCAAACTGACACACCTACTCAGAGCGTGGGGTCTAAGCCCGGGCTGTGCTTTCACCAGAGCCCCTGATGGTGGGGATGGACTTGAAACAGTCCCGGGCCAGGTCACGACTCCGAGCAGTTCCCGCCAGTGGCTGAGGAGACCTTTGGGGACAGGTACGGGTGAGAGCCAGATATGAAGAGGATGGCGGCCCCAGCAGGGTAGTAACGGATCGTGGGCCCGTGAGGGTAAGCCGGGGTACAGAATCGGTAGGCGAGAGTAGTCGGGTCACACGCAGGGTCAGCAGGGAAGTCAATCCGTAGAATGGTCAGGGCAATCCGGGTCAAACGCAGGAGCAGGCAGAATAGTCAGGACAATCCGGGTCAAACGCAGGAGCAGGCAGAATAGTCAGGACAATCCGGGTCAAACGCAGGAGCAGGCAGAATAGTCAGGGTCAATCAGGGTCACAAGATGGGTGCAGGAACTCAGGATCACAGGAAGACCTTGCGGCAATCTGTGACAGTGCAGGGCATCTTTAAATAGTGCGCCCTGCACTGTCATTGGCCGGCTAGGACGCGCCCCCGGCTGTCATTGGACGCCTGAGGCGCGCCCGCGGCTCCTACTGCGCATGCGCGGCGTCCTGTCAGCCGCGGCTCGCCGGGACCTAGTGCCTGTGTCCCGGCGCGATCTGCCGCCAATGCGCATGCGCGTGGGACAGAGCCGCGATCGCGGACCATGGAGCCGCGATCCCTGACAACATCCAGAGAGGAGATAGACCCTGCAGGAGAGAGGACCGGCCTGCTACACCTCCCCACCACCGACCACCCCTCCCCCACCTGGACCCCACCCTGCTCACCCTGAACAGGACCCTGGGACCCCTGAGGTTCCCTACTGGGCTTTTTCTCCGCCTCAAACAGAGGAGAACCGGGGGAGCAGGTACAGACGGCCTAGATTTTACATCCACCACCCCGGCCCCTCTGGCAGCCTCAGCCAACTTTTTTTCCTTACTAGGAGGGGGACAGACCCAACAGGAGAAACTACCGGGACACTGACTGGGGTGGGCTCAACCAGGGGAACTACCACAGAAGGGACAACTGAAGCCACCCCCAACTCTACCAAGGCCGCTGCAGAGGCCGATTTGGCCCTCTCCGCCGCAGCCTCTCGCGGCATCCATCCTGTCCAATTCGGCAGCAATTTCCGCCACTGGGAGGTTGCGGAGTGCCTCTGGGCACTGATTGTATGTATGGCCCAAGACCCAGCAGAGGTTACACCTCACAT